TGGTCATGGTTCAGGGTAACCAACTCTTGGACTCTGGGTTCAAGTTCTACCCATGCAAGGCACAGGCTATTTGACCTCAGGCTGACAGCTTGAACCTTCATGAGCCTAAGTTTCCTCATCTCTAGAAAACTGCTTAAAGTTCCTATCTCCCTGGGTTCTGGGGAGGTGTCAGGGAAATGACAGGTAGAGAGTGTAAGAACACAGGGCCTGGGACACAGTAAGTGCTCAATAAATCCTGGTTGATAGGATTTGCTAGTTGAGGAAACCTGAGCCTCAACCCTGGTGGTGGGAGCAGCTGGGTAGAGGGGTAGAGTTTGTGCTTTCTGAGGTTGACCAGGGCCTTGGTGGAGGCATGGAGTGGCCCCCACGGCCAGGATAGGGGCCCAGCCTTGATTCTCCCTCTTCCTGGCTCAGCCAATGTGCCCAAGCCACAGGAGGCACCAGGCCCCAGGGTCAAGCCTTGAGGCCGAGAACCTATTGCCCCTCCTCCCTTCTTCCTGGGCCCTGGGGGGACACAGGGTCTGCTCTGTCTGCCCGCACTCCTCCTCTCCTCCCCCTCCCTCTCCCATGGGCATATCTAGCCACCTTCCCTTGGTCCCCTGCCCTGTCTCCAGGAGTCCCTCAGGGCGGTTTCCGTGCCTCCCACCCTCCAGTCCCTGAGCCTGGTGGCCCCGACTCTGCTCCCTGTGACACTCTGTCCTCTAACCTTGACCCCCTTGCCCCCTCCTGTACAGGTCCCTTTTCTCGGGCCCACCCCTGGAGTTCTCCATCCACGTTTCCCTGTCCCCGCCACCTGTCTTCATTCTTCTGCCCCCACATGCCCCTCTGCCCCCAGCTTTCCATGACCGACCCCCCCTCCGGCTCTGTCCCCGCCCGTCAGCCCCTGGTCCCAGCTCCCGGCTGGCCGGCTCCTGCATGGACAAAGGGGTCCTTTGTGGGCTGACCGCGGCTGGCGGGGCGGCGGGGCGCTGGCTCCGCATTGCTGATGAAACGGAGCCCTTTGTTGTCCCTCCTCAGGCGCAGTATTTCTTTTTGGGGGCTGGATGCGTTCCTGGCAGGGCTGATGATGGATGCGCCCGCCGCCGCCCGCCTGCCCGCCAGCTTTCCCTCCCGTTCATTCCCGCTCCGCTTCAACGCAGCCCCGGCTCCTCCCCTGCTGCCTGGGCACTGCCAGGCCCTTCCTGGCCTGGAAGGGAGTTGCTGTGTACCCAGCAGTAGAAAGCTGGGGCCTGGGAGAATTTCTCCTCTGCGTCCTCCCCTTCTGTGAAGAGGGCAAGTGGGGCTTGTAGTTCGGGGACCACAGGAACCAGGGCATGAGTTTTTCCTCGGGTCTGAAGGAGAAGGCGAGGCAGGCACGGGGCAGAGTGGAGCAAGCTTGAGGGCTAGATGCCGACGCCTGCTCACTCTAGGTGTGAGGACAGGGTTACCCCTGCGGGCCAGTCCCCCTGGCGTGCCCCCCCACTTCTGTGGCTGACAAACCATAGTATTCTGCCTGCAGCACCTGTTCGGTGACATATCACGTCCTCTGGTCCCAAGCTCAGCATGTCCCGGACCCGGGAGGCTGGGTGGGGGTGGGTGGGCCCCGAGGAAGGGCAGAGAAGTGGGAGATCCAGAGAGGGCCAGAGATGAACAGAACGTGAGGTTTGGTCCCCACCAGGAGAGACTGAGGATGGAGACAAAAGCAGAGAGACGGCCGGAGCGCCGCCCTGAGCGCAGGCCGCTGTGTCGGTGGGAGCTGACTTCTAATTGACCTGCCCGCCCGCACGCAGAGCCAGATCCCGGAGCTGGAGGAGGGCGGGGTGAGCCCAGCGAGAGCAGCGTGAATGCAGCTATCGATTTCTGCCACCAGCCAGCGGGCCGCAGAGGCGGGGGACACACACGGGCTGGGGCACAGGCTGCTCCCTGCCCCACCCCTCCAGCCCACGGACACCTGCCTTCTCCTGTCTCCTGCCCTCACCCTGTATCTGGGGCCGCAGGGCTGTCATCCAGGGCGGGTATTCAAGCTCAGGTGGACAGGAGCTGGATGAGCCAGTGTGATGGTTTCTGGCCCTGGTCTCACTGGCCCTGGTCCCCAACACCTAGCCAGAGTCACTGATGCCTGGAGGGGTCATCATTCTCTGAGGAGAGGGGCTCAAAAGCGACCTGGGCTTGGCCCTCCGGAGGCGGGAGAGGACACAGCCGCTCTGGGGCACACATGGTCTCCTTCCTCCTACTACAACTGTGACCTCTGATGCCCCCATCTCAGCCTGGACACCGACCAGGCCCTTGCAGGTGTGTCCTGGTGGAATCTGCCAGCCTGCCCAGCTCTTTCCCACCACCCATTCCCTTTGCTAGGAAGGAGCTGGGTTTGCTGGTGCCCACTGGTGAGGGCTGAGGAGCGTCTCACTGTCGATGCCTGCCAGCACCCTCACCCTGGAGACCAGCTTCTCCTCACATTCCTTCCACTTCGTGGCCACTTCTCAGTCCTGGGCAGGGGGCTCAGTTGCCCTCTCTGCAAATGCAGAGGGTTGGACTAGATGATCTCCCGGGACAGGCTGGGTACTGTGACTGGGGGATGGTGGGGTTGCCTGGGGACAAAGATCCAGTGTGTGCTGTCCTCAGGTCCAGGGCGGGATGGAGCCCACCAGATGTGCGCCTCTCCCCTGAGCCGCCGGCTGCTCAGGCTGAGCCCATCCTCCTACCCTTCTCCTGGGGGTTTCCGGGACACTGGAGAGCCAAGACTGATGAGGAAACTGCCACCCGCTCCATCTGGCCCAGTTCCTTCCAGCCACGGTGGTGGCGGCTCACATACTTAGCCTGGGGCCTGAGTGGAATGGGCCCTGTCCCAGGGAGGGCAACTCAGAAACATGGGGATGGCCAGAGGATGACTCCTGTTTGGCTCTGTGCCCGCGAGGGCCACACCCGCTCTCTCAGTGCCAGCCTGCCCCAGCCAAAGGCCCCTCCTGCCCACCCACTGCAGCTCTTTGGGTTCTCACAGAGACCCCCACCCAGTCTGGGAGCCAGACCAGAGCACAACATTGAGGCCCCAGTAGAGATGAGAGTAGACTCTGAGATGATGATGGCTGTGGCTGGCTTGGGAGCTAAGAAGGAAGTGCCTGCCTGTGTGGCAAAAGCATATCCTGCGCTCTGGCAGGGAAGGCTTGTCCTCTGGCCCCATGCTGCTTGCCCTGTAGCAGGAGGGTAGATGCTCTTTGAAATAAGGGTTTTGGCCAGGCGTGTTGGCTTCAAGCCTGTTATCCCAGCACTTTGGGCGGCTGAGGTGAGAGGATAGCCTGAGTCCAGGGGTTCGAGACCAGCGTGGGCAATTTGGTTAGAACTCGTCTCTACAATAAATTTTAAAAAAAAATTAGGGGCAACCCTTTTGGGTCCCCTTCCACTGTGGGAGTTTTTTTCTGACCTCCTAATAAATTCTGCTTTCTAAAAAAAGTAAATTCTGCTTCCTAAAAAAAAAAAAAAAAAAATTAGTTGGGATGGTAGCATGTATCTGTAGTTCCAGCTACTTGGAAGCCTGAGCTCAGTAGGTCAAGGCTGTGGTGGCCATGAGCATACCATTGCACTCCAGCCTGGGTGATAAGTTGAGAGTCCAACTCAAAAAAACAAAATAAGAGTTTTGCATTCTTGGCAAACTCTGGATTAAACAAAGGCAAACAGGTTCCTTTGCCTGCAGGACATGTCAGAGCCTGGAAATAATGATGTGAATTAGAAATCTCCAAGTGAGGATCCAGGAGTACCTTACCAAACTTTCTGGCGTGCATCTTCAAGTGCTCCTCTCCTTAGATAGGTTGGGTAAGTAAGACTAGGAAGTGGAGATGACTCTATGACCATCCAAGGCTAATAAGCATCTCCAGCTCTCTCCTACCCCAGCAGAGGAAGGGCTACCTGCCCCAGTCAGGTCTTGCACAATTCTAGCCAGCCAGATCTGGGCTTTGAAGACGGGACTGGACCTCTACCCTGCCACTTGCTGGCTGTGTGCCTAGAACTAATAATTCTCCTAAACCTTGTTTTCTGCACCTATAAAGTAGTTTTTGGCCAGGTGCAATGGCTCACGCCTGTAATCCCAATACTTTGGGAGGTGGAGGTAAAAAGACTGCCTGAGCCCAGGGGTTCGAGACCAGCCCAGGCAACTTGGTGAGACCTCATCTCTACAATAGATTTTAAAATTCGCCGAGCGTGGTGGTGCACGCCTATGGTTCAGCAACTTGGAAGGCTGAGGCAGAAGGATCGCCTGAGCCCAGCAGGTCAAGGTGGTGATGGCCGCGAGTGTGCCCCTGCACTCCAGCCCAGGCGACAGATTGAGACTCCAGCTCTACAAAAGTGCTCTGTTTTACCAGCCACTGCTTCTGGGGCTTTTGTGGGTCTCAACCGAGACAGAAAGTTCCTCACAAGGGCGGGGCCGGCACTCTACTAAGTGCCTGGTCAAGCTTGCGCTTGTGACGAGGGTGTTGGCGGCGGTGTTCGAGGAGGAGGTATGCACTGCTGCCCTGACCCTGCATCCTCTTGTCCCACAGAGTGAAGACACTTCCACGTGGACGCCTGACCATGCGCCGGCCCTGAGCAGCGAGGCCCCCAAGCACCTCTTGTGGGCAGCCCGGTCAGGCCCTCCCCGTAGACCCCGGCAGTCGGCAGGCTCCCTCGGCAGCGGGGTCCGGGCCTCGGCCCCACCATGTCGAGCCTCGGCGGTGGCTCCCAGGACGCCGGCGGCAGCGGCTCCAAGGCGGGAGC